CAGTGAGATTGCTGGATCATATGGTAGCTCTATGTTTACTCTCTTGATGGATCTTTGTACTGTTCTTCATGGTGGCTTTACTAATTTACATTCCCACCAACAGTGTACAAGGGTTCCCTTTTCTCCACATCCTCGCCAGCATTCACTATTGCCTGTAATTTGGATATAAGTCATTTAAACTGGGATGCAATGATATCTCATTGTAGTTTTGATTTGCATTTCTCTGATGATTAATGATGTTGAGCACCATTTTATACACCTGTTGGTCATTTGTATGTCTTCTTTTGAGAAATGTCTATTCAGATCTTTTGCCTATTTTTTAAAACAGATTATCAGATTTTTTTCCTATTAAGGTTGGGCACAATGGCTTATGCCTGTAATTCCACCACTTTGGGAGGCCAAGGTGGGCAGATCGCTTGAGCTCAGGAGTTCAAGACCAGCCTGGGCAACATGGCAAGACCCCATTTCTACAAAAAATACAAAAATTTGCTGGGTGCAGTGGCATGCACCTGTAATCCCAGCTACTTGGGGGACTGAGGGGAAGGATTGCTTGCTCCAGGGAGGTCGAGGCTGCAGTGAGCTGTGTTTGCATCACCGCACTTCAGCTTGGGTGAAAAAGCAAGACCTTGTCTCAGATAAAAAGACCTTTTTCCTATTGAGTTTTTTGAGCTCTTTATATATTCTGGTTATTAATCCTTTGTCAGATGGATAGTTTGCAAATATTGTCCCCCATTATGTGGGTCATCTCTTCACTTTGTTGACTGTTTCCTTGGTTGTGCAGAAACTTTTTAACTTGATGTGATCCCATTTATCCATTTTTGCTTTGGTTGCTTGTGCTTATGGGGTGTAACTCAAGAAATCTTTGCCCAGACCAATGTCCTGGAGTTTCTTCAATGTTTTGTTTTGATAGTTTCATAGTTTGAGGTCTTAGATTTATGTTTTGTTTTTGTTTTTTTAAACTAGAGACAGGGTCTCCTATGTTGCCCAGGCTGGTCTCGAATTCCTGGGCTGAAGGGATCCTCCTGCCTTTGCCTCCCAAAGTGCTAGGATTACATGCATGAGCCACCACACCCAGCCAGATTTAAGTCTTTAATCCATTTTGATTTGATTTTTGTAAAATGGCAAGAGATAGGGTTCTAGTTTCATTCTTCTTCATATGGATATCCACATTTCCCTGCACCATTTATTGAAGAGACTGTCCTTTCCCCAATGTGTATTCTTGGCACCTGTGTCAAAAATGAATTCACTGTAGATATATGGATTTATTTCTGCGTTCTCTATTCTGTTCCATTGGTCTATGTGTCTGTTTTTATGCTACCATACTGTTTTTGCTACAATAGCTCTGCAGTATAATTTGAAGTCAGGTAATATGATTCTTTCAGTTTTGTTCATTTTGCTCAGGATGACTTTGGCTATTCTGGGTCTTTCGTGGTTCCATGTAAAGTTTTAGGTTTCTTTCTTCTTTCTTTCCTTCCTCTTCTTCCTCCTCCTCTTCTTCTTCCTCTTCTTCTTCTTCTTTCTTCTTTCTCTCCTTCTCCTTTTTCTTCTTCAGACACGGTCTTGTTCTGCTGCCCAGGCTGGGCTGCAGTGGCACACACATGGCTCACTGCAGCCTCAACCTCCTGGGCTCAAGTGATCTTCCCACCTCAGCCTACCTGAGTAGCTGGGACCACAGGTGCATGTCATCATGCCCAGCTAATTTTTAAAATTTTTTGTAGAGATGGAGTCTCTGTATGTTGCCTAGGCTGGTCTTGAACTCCTGGACTCAAGCAATCCTCCTGCCTCAGTCTCCCAAAGTGCTGATATTGCAGGCATGAGCCACTGCACCTGCCCTCAGATTATTTCTTGTTGCTCATTAATGTCCTTTCCTTTCAGAATTTGAAGAACTCCCTTTAGCGTTTCTTGTAGGACAGGTCTGGTGTTGAAATGCCTTAGCTTTGGTTGTCTGGGAAAGTATCCTTCACATTTTAAGGATTTTTTACCGACTATACTATTCCAGGATGTTTTTTTCTTTCAGCACTTTAAATATGTCATGTCACTCACTCCTGGGCTGTAAGGTTTCCACTGAGAAGTCCGCTGCCAGATGTATAGGTGCTCCATTCTATGTTATTTTCTTCTTTCCTCTTGTGCTTTAGGATTCTTTCTTTGTCCTTGACTTTTGGGAGTTTATTAAATGTCTTGAGGTGGTCTTATTTGGGTTAAATATGCTTAGTGTTCTATAACCTTCTTGTACTTCAATATTTCTATCTTTCTCTAGGTTTGGAATGGTCCCTGTTATTATCCCTTTGAATAAACTTTCTACTTCAATCTCTCTTTAAGGCCAGTAACTCTTAGATTTGCCCTTTTGAGGCTATTTTATAGATTCTGTAAGCATTCTTCATTCTTTTTTCTTTTGTCTCCTCTGACTGTGTTTTCAAATAGCTTGTCTTCAAGCTCACTAATTCTTTTTGTTTTGTTTTGTTTTGTTTTGTTTTGTTTTTTTGAGACAGAGTCTCACTCTGTCGCCCAGGCTGGAGTGCAGTGGCACAATCTTGGCTCACTGCAACCTCCACCTCCCAGGTTCAAGCGATTCTCATACCTCAGCCTCTCAAGTAGCTGGGATTACAGGTGTGCACCACCACACCCAGATAATTTTTGTATTTTTAGTAGAGACGAGCTTTCGCCATGTTAGCCAGACTGGTCTTGAAGTCCTGGCCTCAAGCCATCTGCCGCCTCAGCCTCCCAAAGTGCTGGAATTACAGACATGAGCCACTGTACCCCATCCAAGCTCACAAATTTTTTCTTCTGTGTGATCAGTTCTGCTATTGGGAGACTTTGATGTATTCTTCAGTATGTCAATTGAATTTTTCAGCTCCAGAGTATCTGCTTGATTTTTTTAAATTATTTTGATTTGTTTGCTAAATTTATCTGATAGAATTCTGAATTCTTTCTCTGTGTCATCTTAAATTTTGTTGCACTTTGTCAAAACAGCTATTTTGAGGTCTCTGTCTGAAAGGTCACATATCTCCGTCACTCTGGGATTGGTCACTGGTGCTTTATTTAGTTCAACTGGTGAGGTTGTGTTTCACTAGATGGTCTTGATACTTGTATGCTTGCCAATGTCTGGGCATTGTAGAGTTAGGTGTTTATTGTAGTCTTCGCAGCTGGTCTTGTTTGTACCTGTCCTTCTTGGGAAGGCTTTCCAAGTATTCAAAGGGAATTAAGCACTGTAATCTGTCTTTGGTCACTGTAGCTGCATCTGCATTAGAGGGCACCCCAAGCCTAGTAATTGTTGTGATTCTGGTAGACTTGTAGAGGTACTGCCTTGGTTGTCTTGGATAAGATCTGAGAGAGTTCTCTGGATTACCAGGCAGAGACTCTGGTTCTCTTCCCTTCCCTTCCCCCAAACAAACGAAGTCTCTCTTTGTACTGAGATGGCTAAAGCTGAGGGAGGGGTGACACAAGCACCTCTATGGCTAATATCCCTGGGACTATGCTGGGTCAGAGCCAAAGCCAGCATGGTACTGGGTCTCACCCAAGGCCTGCAGTAACTATTGCCTAGCTACTGCCCATGTTCACTCAAGGCCCAAACAAAAGCTCTTCCCTTCAAGGCAGCATGCTGCCCCCTGGGCCCAGTGCAGACCAGAAATGCCATCTGGGAGCCAGGCCCTGGAGTCAGGAAACTTAGGAATTTGTTTGGTACTCTATTCTACTGCAGCTGAGCTGGCACCCAAGCCAGAAGACAAAGTTCTTCCCACTCTTCCCTCCCCTCTCCTCAAGCAGGAGTCTCTCTATGGACACAACCACCCAGGCCTGTAGCAAGTACTGGCTGGATACCACTAATGTTCACTCAAGGCTCTTCAGTCAGCTTGTGGGGAATGCTGCCAGGCCTAGGTCTCTCCCTTCAGGGCAATGGGCTCCCCTCTGGCCCAGTGGGAGTCCAGAAATGCCATCCAGGAGCCAAGGCCTGGAATTGGGAACCCCAGGAGCCTGCTTGGTGCTCTACTTCACTGTCTGGCTAAGGCCTGCAGTGAGTGTTGTCTGGCCACTGCTGGTGTTTATTCAAAGCCCAAGGGCTCTTTAGTCAGTAAGTTATGAATCTTGCCAGAACTGGGTCCTTCTCTTTAAGGCAGTGGATTCTCTTCTGGCCAGAGATGTGTCTAGAAATGTCTGGGAGCTAGGGCCTGGAATGGGGACCTCGGGACTCTGCCTGAGGTGCCCTGTTCTGCTGTGGCTGAGCTGGTATCCAGATTGCAAGACAAGTCCTCTTTACTCTCCCCTCTCCTCCTCTCAAGCAAAAGGAAGGCCTCTCTCTTGAAGCTGCAAGCTGTGCTGCCTGGGGCTGGGGGATGGCTGCTACAAGCACTCCCTTGGCTGCCCCAGCTGGTGTCTCACTAGGTCTTATGTACCTGAAGTCCACTGCCTCTGAGCCCAGCACAGCACCAGAACTTGCCCAGGAATTGCAGTCCTTGTGGCCTAGACTGCCTTTCAAGCTTATTTAGGACCTCAGAGCACTTCAGCCCACAGTGGTAGAGAGAGCTGGAACTTAGTATCAAATGGCTGGGATGGGCTAGGGCTGGTCTAAATGCTCCCTCCATGGGCACCAACTGAATTCTGTCCTGTGTTGCTTTCCCTGTGACAGCCAGCACTGTGTTCCTGTGCAAAGTCCCACCATCACAGCATTCCCTCTTCCCCAAGGGCAGATTCTCTCTTCATGCCACATGGCTGCTGCCAGGGGATGGGGGAGGGCGGTGTTGGCAATTCAAGACTGTCTTTTCTACCCTACCCTCTTCAGTGCCTCTTTCCTTGACACAAAGTTAAAACCTGGTATTGCGATCCCACACCTGCTGTTTGGTTCTTATAGAGGTGTTTTCTTGTGTGAATAATTGTTCAGTTTAGTGTTCCTGCTAGGGGAAACGCTCACAGGAGGGTTCTATTTGGCCATCTTGCTCCACTCCAGAAAGCACAGCATATTTTAAACATCAAATTCATCATGAGTTAACTGTCTACATTGTACTTACAGGAATAAAATAAGTTGTTGGGAATCTTTGAACTGTTGAGCGAAATACACAGCTCCTATATTAAAAAAAAAAAAAAAAAAAGAAAAATGATTTTCTAAATCTATTTTTTAAAGATCTTTGTTAACTTATTCCCTATCTTTCATTAAATATTTTAAAATGTTAATCTGCATATGAGGTGCATAAATGAGGTTTAAAAGCCATGAGGATTGGCATGTAGGTATGTAAACAGAAAGGTGGCTTATTTAGTAAGTATATAATTACCTGGAAGCATATTTGGGAACCGGTGCAGGAAGCACATTGTATTGTCCCGGAGAAAGCTGAAGTGACTGCACAGAATGGACAAGGACACCAATAGATTAATAGAGGTTGTAAACTCACTTCACTATCTGTCATTCATAATCTTTTATTTTATGACTATACAACATTGAATAATTCCTTCTTTACTTTAATAGTGGAAAAGGAAAAGGTACATTTCCAGAGGTGGAGCTTCAAAACATTTAACATATATTCGGTCTTCATGGTGAATTTTATAGACAACATGCCTGAGATGCTGCATAGGAAAATGTCAAATTGATCACATTTTTTTCTTTTTATTTTTTTGAGATAGAGTCTCACTCTGTCACCCAGGCTGGAGTGCAGTGGCATGATTTCGGCTCACTGCAGCCTCTGCCTTCCCGGTTCAAGCAATTCTCTGCCTCATCCTCCCGAGTAGCTGGGATTACAGGTACACACCACCACGCCCAGCTAATTTTTATATTTTTAGTAGAGATGGGCTTTCACCATGTTGGCCAGGCTGGTCTTGAACTCCTGGCCTTGAGTGATCCACCTGCCTCAGCCTCCCAAAGTGCTGGGATTACAGGCATGAACCATGGTGCCCAGCCACATTTTTTTTTTTTTTTCTTTTTTTGAGGTAGGTTCTCTGTTATACAGGCTGGAGTGCAATGGCATGAACATAATTCACTGCAGCCTCAAACTCCTGGACTCAAGGGATCCTCCCACCTCCACATCCCAAGTAGCTGAGACTACAGGTGTGTGTCACTGCACCCAGCTACTTCTTTATTTTTTATAGAGACAGGATCTCACTATGTTGCCCAGGCTGGTCTTGAACTCCTGGGCTCAAGCAATCCTCCTGCCTCAGCCTCCCAAAGTGCTGGGATTACAGATGTGAGCCACTGTACCTGGCCTGATCACATCTTATTTTTATTTATTTATTTAGAGACAAAGTCTCGCTCTGTTGCCCAGAGTGGAGTGCAATGGCGTGATCACAGCTCACTGAAGCCTCGACGTCCCAGGCTCAAGTGATCCCCCCACCTCAGCCTCCCAAATAGCTGGGACCACAGATGCGTACCACCATACCTGGCTAATTTTCTTGGTTTTAATAGAGATCAAGTCTCGCTATGTTGCCCAGGCTGGTCTCAAACGCCTGAGCTCAAGCAATCCACCCACTTTGGCCTCCCAAAGTGCTGGGATTACAGATGTGAGCCACTATGTCCAGCAGTGATCACATTTTAAATATTCTAGATTCAACAAATCAATTCAGCCATTTAGTGAGCCTGCTCTGGGGTAAAGCGCAGCACTAGTAGTAGGGAATACAGTGGTTAAGAGAGCTACGGTCCCTGACCAGCAGGAGTGAGAGGCACCTACAGATACAATCCTAACATAAACCACTGTCATCAGTGCTAAAAGACAGATAGAAGATATGGGAGTAGAAAGAGATTAAATCCAACTAGGTGACCTCAAGATGACAAACATGATGAGATTTGAGGGAGGCTTTTAAGAAGGGCAGGACTGGCCGGGCGTGGTGGCTCACGCCTGTAATCCCAGCACTTTGGGAGGCCGAGGCGGGCGGATCACAAGGTCAGGAGATCGAGACCACGGTGAAACCCCGTCTCTACTAAAAATACAAAAAATTAGCCGGGCGCGGTTGTGGGCGCCTGTAGTCCCAGCTACTCGGGGGCTGAGGCAGGAGAATGGCGTGAACCCGGGAGGCGGAGCTTGCAGTGAGCCAAGATCGCGCCACTGCACTCCAGCCTGGGCGACAGAGCCAGACTCCGTCTCAAAAAAAAAAAAAAAAAAAAAAAAAAAAGAAGGGCAGGACTTCCTCAAGGAGCTCAAGCAAGGGTCTTCCAAGAAAAAGGGGCCTCACATCTAACACTATTTCCATCAGGAAATTGTTGCAAACAACCTGGGTGGCTCCATTGCCCCTGGGTCTAGGGACATTAGCCCAAAGGTATGATACAAGAATGTCAGGAACTGGTTAAAATAGACAGGAGAGGTCGGGTGCAGTGGCTTAATGCCTGTAATCCCAACACTTTGGGAGGCCGAGGCAGGTGGATTGCTTGAGGTCAGAAGTTCAAGACCAGCCTGACCAACATGGCAAAACCCTGTCTCTACTAAAAATACAACAATTAGCCAGGGGTGGTGGTGGGTGCCTGTAACCCCAGCTACTCAGGAAGCTGAGGCACGAGAATCACCTGAACCCAGGAGGCGGGGGTTGCAGTGAGCCAAGATTGTGTCACTGGACTCCAGCCTGGGCAACAGAGCAAGACTCAGTCTAAAAAAGAAAAAAAAAAAAAAAAAAGGAAGTATGTGAAGGAAGGGAGGGAGAGAAAGAAGGAGAATGAGAAGCCAGGAGGAGATCACCCAGACCTCCAGAGCTGGCAGGGAGGAGGGGAGGAGTTATATTATAAAATCCTAGGACCTGAAGTGAATAATCCCCTCCACCCCCTATTATTTTTACATCAGATTTTAAGAAACAATACAGCTTTTGTTGAAAAGGCATCTACCTCCTAGCACTACCTGGCACATGGAAGTTCACTACTATATTTCGCTCCGCAGGTGTCTTTCCCATATTAGTATACAACTTTGATTGCAGAAGCAGCTTTTTGTGGGTAGAGTGATGATAACAAGTAAATACAAATTTTATGGTGAAATATATGCATTTTCCTGATGCACCTGTGCTTGTTGAGTGCTCACTTGACATCACAAACACCAAGGAAACAAGGGCATTCTTGTGTCATTCTTGTGTCTTATAGAAGCACAGAAACACAACTTAAATGGGGCATTCTTGGGAGCCAGCAATGTCCTATTTCCTGATTTTGATGACAATTACATGGATGTTTGCTTTCTGTTTTTAAAATGTACATACTTGCTTTATGCTTCTCTCTCTCTCTCTCGCACATACACAGATATAAACAGGAGGCAAAAAAAAAAAAAAAGAAAACTGAAAAGGGGAAAAAAACTCTTAAAGCAGTCATTTATTTATCTATACTCAGCAATCCATGTAAGATTTCCATAATGAAGTGCTCATGGAAAAACTCTTAGCATTATTCTGGAAAGGAATACTGGTTACCTGTAACATATATATTTGTCCTACTATACTTGGCATTTACCATTCTTTGCTACTTAACATAGTTGAAAGGGGGCTTTTTTTTCATAGTCTTGATTAGTCAGTTGCTTTATGTAGGAGACTTTTCCTGTGTATTACTAAACTTGGTTCCATTTTCCTTGGGTCTAATGGTATATATATATTTCTAATTCCAACATATGCTTCTCAGTTTTTGGGTTTTTTTTTGTTTTTTTTTTTTGGAGACAGGGTCTTGCTTTGTCACCCAGGCTGGAATGCAGTGGTGCAACCATAGCTCACTGTACTTCAACCTCCCAGGCTCAAGCCATCTTCCTGCCTCAGCCTTCTGACTACTTGAGACTATAGGCATGTGCAACCACACCTAGCTATTTTTAAAAATTACTGTAGAGTTGAGATCTCACTATGTTGCCAGGGCTGGTCTCAAACTCTTGGGCTCAAGCGACCCTCCCACCACAGCTTCCCTAAGTGCTGAGATTATAGGTGTGAGCCAATATGCCTGTCCAGGTCTTCATTTTTAAGGCTTAGAGAATCTAGACAAGATGCTGGTAAAAATATCTGATTCTCACTAATTAATGTTTCAATCCATGCTGATTAGGCACTCAAACCTTTTTTTTTTTTTTTTTTTTTTTTGAGACTGAGTTTGGCTCTTGTTGCCCAGGCTGGAGTGCAATGGCACGATCTTGGCTCACTGCAACCTACGCCTCCCAGGTTCAAGTGATTCTCCTGCCTCAGCCTCCCGAGTAGCTGGGATTACAGGCATGCGCCACCATGCCCGACTAATTTTGTATTTTTAGTAGAGATGGGGCTTCTCCATGTTGGTCAGGCTGGTCTCAAACTCCAGACCTCAAGTGATCCACCTGCCTTGGCCTCCCAAAGTGCTGAGATTATAGACGTGAGACACTGCACCCGGCCAGGCACTCAAATCTTATAAGAGCTTGAATGTGGCAGGATGATATTAGTGTGGATATATAATTCAGTTATGTTGCACCAAACACCATCAACGTCAGAAAACTGAAATAATGTGAAAAAAGCCAACCCTACTTACTAGGCTCTTGGTGTGACTACATATACATATATATCTACACGTACATATACATATACATGACTTTATTTAGAACAGATTTAGGGTCATAGCAAAATTGCAAGGAAAAAGATTTCCATATACCCTTTGCTCCCACACATGCATAACCTCCATTATCATCATCCCACACTAAAAATGTACAGTTGTTACAACTGATGAACCTACACTGACACATCATTATCACTCAAAGTCCATATGTTACATTAGACCTCACTCTTGGTGTTGTACATTCAAGGGTTTTGACGAATGTGCAATGACATGTATCCATTATTCTAGTATCACAGAGTGGTTTCACTGCCCTAAAAATCCTGTGTTCTCCCTATTTATCCCTCCCTCTCCTCAAGCCCTGGCAACCACTGATCTTTTTATAGTCTCCATAGTTTTGCCTTTTCCAGAATGTCATATAGGTGGAATCACACCATATGTAGCCTTTTCAGATTGGCTTCTTTCACTTAGTGATATGCATTTATGTTTCCTCCATGTCTTGTTATGGCTTCATAGCTCATTTCTTTTTAGTGCTGAATAATATTCCATTGTCTGGATGTACCACAGTTTATTTATCCATTCATCTACTGAGCAACATCTTGGTTGCTTCCAAAGGTGGGCAATTATGAATAAAGCTGCTCTAAACATCCATGTGCAGGCTTTTGTGTGGGTGTAAGCTTTCAAGTCCTGTGGCTAAACACTATGGAGCACAACTGCTGGATCTTATGTAAGAGTATGTTTAGTTTTTAAAAAAACGGCCAAACTGTCTTCCAAAGTGGCTATACCATTTTGCATTCTCACTAGCTATGAATGAGAGTTCCTGTTGCTCCACATCCTTGCCAGCTTTGATGTTGTCAGTGTTCTGCATTGGAGCCATTTCATATTTGTGTAGT